TGTGTTTCGCAAGCCGACTGTTTTCCATTCGTCCAAGGCGTCTAAATAAGCGTTTTAATTTTTGTCTATCAAAGGTCTCTATCAGAGCATCCACTTCTTTTTTTATCTTCTCACTAGGAATTCCACCAACTCCCCTTACCCTTCGCAAGTACTTCATTGCTGTAGCATGTAGTCTGGTTTTTTGTGATTCGTCCAGCACCCAACTTCGGAATGGGACATTTCATTGTCGCCACTTCATTGCCGCCATTTCTAGACCGCCACTTCCTTGCCGTGCCAACTCTTTGCAGACCCATCTCATTGCCGATCCAACTAATTGCCGACCATATCATTGCCGTGACAACTCATAGCCAGTAAGAATTGGTTATAGAATGAAATTTGAGACGGGTCCTGGTTTAGGTGAAGGCACCTAATCTATTAAAAAAAATTTGAATCCCTCATTTTTGTTTTTTTGTAAAACATTCAGAAAGTATTCATTTTCTTTATTTTCAGAACAGGTAATATGAAAAGCACAATTTATAAAGGGCCGTAGTGTACATCCAGTTCTTCCTATACATAATAATGCCAACTAACTGAGTTCTTCTCCGCCTCAACAATGGTAAAAACTCTTGACTTTTAGTTTTTGTGCCTGGAATACTAACTACCAGCATCGATTCTCCATCGTCTATGTAGTCACGTTCATTTTTAACAATTCCTCTGATCTGCAAGCTGCAACTTCCTCCAATATCCATAATTGCCGCATGAGCATGCAATGTTTTACACAAACTAACCTTTATCAGCAAATGACATCTTAGGAGATGAAAGAAGCGCCTTCAGATGCTTCGTGACTTTCGTCTTCAATATTTTTAGAAGGGTTTACAGGCATGATTTTAGCAAAATAAAAAATTCTTAATTTTTGTTGACAGTTACAAACAAGCGACCGTAACTATAACACCCTAAAAAGCCTACCATACTTTTTCATACTTTTTATTGCATATTAATTTTGAAATGGATTCAGATCGGTCGGTATTGGAAAAATTAGTATAAGTATAACACTGGATTAAACCAGTTTTTGTTCCTGAAAGAATGATTCAAAGCCCGAGGCTTGCTTTTTAATCCCTTGTTACTTAATATACCATTATCCAGTGCGCTTACATACACGGCGATGAACCGGCCGGTGGTGAACCGGGTCAGGCGCTGAAACGGCGGCGCTGAAACGTCCCATTCCGCTAAAACAGGACTGCACAACAGGTCTAAAATTTCATTCTATAACCAATTCTTACTGGCTATGAGTTGGCACGGCAATGATATGGACGGCAATTAGTTGGGTCGGCAATGAGATGGGTGTGCAGAGAGTTGGCTCGGCAATGATGTGGCGGTCTAGAAATGGCGGCAATGAAGTGGCGGCAATGAAATGTCCTAGACCGCCCAACTCTCTCTCTCTCTACCGTTGGTCTGTAAGTAGATTGCATTAACTATTTCTAATTAACTGTTACAGTACTTACCGAAATTGTTTCTTTCTATCGCCTTTGGCATATTCTAGGAATAACAACAAAATTCATCTTGATAACATGGCATTAACATATACCTACTACACCTACTTACAATAGGTAAGTTAAATTATCTTCAATTATAACGTTTGCAGGTTATGTGTATTAGGTGTATTATTTACCCCTTAAACTTGACAGTTGTACGAAAATTCAAATTTTAGCGCGCTTGCGTTTGCGCAATACCTTGGGAGTCAGTATGCAACACATCTGCAAGTCGTATAAAGCGCACAATCCAATTTAACAAAATCCAGTATGGTTAACTGTAGATGGGTGGAAGATTGTGGGTTTGTTTATTAACGCACATATTTAAAATTCAGTATCGGGGCATGTTGACAACCTAACAATATTTTCACCGAATTTGCAATTGTTATACAATTTGATTTATATCAAAAGTTGCAATTTTTTTAATTGAATTCGCTTTAAATTATTACTGTATATCAATTCCTTGGTTAATTTTAATATTATAATAATATGTAATCTAAAATTAGTCGTTTACCCACAATTCGTTATTTTTTAAAAAGTAGGTGTCCAGTAAAAACTGAATAGTTATACCAATTATCATAAGACTTTTAAGTCAGTGACTTTGCAGTGTTAGTAATCATGAAATGTATATTGTACTAACGGTCAAAGTTACACCTTCTTTGTGTTAAAAATCACTTTTCCAAATTTGAATCACAAGCTAACTTGATTTTGTTAAATGGAACTACCAAGTTTTTTTTCATTGCATCAAATGTAGAATTTGATTTGTCAATTTGGTTCATTAGCATTGTTGATTAGTTAAGTTTATTAGAAAAATGGAATTTGAGAAAAGTAATTTAAACGGTGCTTTTTACTTGTTTACTATAAATATTTAAGTACTTTTTGATGGTCTTCAAAATGTTTCGGTGCACATAAGTAATAAAGGAAATGTGGTTTCACCGCCACGATGGTGATTCACCTCATTTTGCCTAAACGTTAAAGAATTACTAAATCAATAATATCCTGCGAGGTGGATACTTTGAGGGGGTTGAAGTGGTTTCTGAGTCTCTTTTGTTTTGTTTGCAGGGAAATGTTTTTTAATTTGAATTGGTGTTCATAATTTTTAACGGCCTACTAATTACTGAGAGCTTTTGAAAATCGAAAAACACTATAAATTATATTAGAAATTGTTGAATTACATAAAATATGTAAAAGGCAGGTAATTACCGACATGCTTATATCGTTGGAAAGGTAATCAAATCCTACAATTGATCCAATAAAAAAAAATAGTAGTTCTATTAATAAAAATCAAGTTACCTTTGATTGAAATTTTGAACATTGACGCAGTGATTTCATTTAACAGAAAAAAATTTAACATTGACCGTTCGACGAATGTTAGTACATTTCATGCAGTCTTTTAATCGCATTGTTACTTCACATCTACTTTTTCAAAAAATCACCAATAGACGACGGATTTTAGATATCATGCAATACATACAAATTGACCAAGGGATCAAAATTTGCAACAACTATTTTAAAAAAAATGCAACTTTGATATAAATCAAAGTGT